AAAAAAGAACAAAAAAGCTATGAAAACGAAAAGCGGATGTGTCGATTATTGAAATGAGAATACCTTTATCTAATGAGTTGAAGATGATATTTTGTTTAGCTTGCAACACAATTTACGGTGTTAAAGTTTATTAACTTTTGAAACTAAGTTAAATACTAAGATATTAGTGTTAATTATTTATTATAGAATATATGGTAACAACAATAGATTTGTTAGAGATTCACGTTAGTAGTTAGTTGTAGATAAGAATAATATATTTCTAATGAATACCAGTTTGATCTGCTAAATTATATTTAAAACCTTGAAATTCAGTTAATGTGTGTTAACGGAATTTGTTAAATCATTATAACATGTATGCGTTAAAATCTAAATTCATTATAAACTGTATGTGTTAAAATTAGCCGTGTGTTTTGTGATCTTGCGGATCAAGTTTATTCAAAATATGGTAGATTAGATTTTATTGTTTTAATTATATAGATTTAAGTTACTAAATGCTGCGATTTTTATGTTATGATTGGTTGTTACTNATGATAATACTTAGATTGCTCAGCTATTTACGATCTAATATATTTGTTTTTTAATTTAACAACTTACCGAGATTTTAGTTTATTTGAGTAAAGTTTAGTTTTTATTTATTTATTTAATTATATATATATATAATTATTGATTTGATTATTCTATGAATAGATTACAACTTTAGTTAAGATTGCACAAACAGAATTTTATGCTAAGAAGGATATTTTTTATTTAAGAAAAAAATTTCGACTTACAAAACAAATTTGTTAAATTCTTTATGGTTCGGAATCGGTTGCGATATCATAATCGTAGAAAAAATTTATTCGAAATGCTACAATCGGTATATTCTAAAGAATAAACATAAATAAAACAAAATATGCAGAGGATTACTCGTAATTATGTATTACTAAACATATACGTCGATTCATCATTTTAATGAGATAGTAATGTTTGTATGTACATTAATTTAATATAATCGTATGCACATTTATTTCGTAATATGGATGGAAGGATGTGTTTGATTCAAAATGTACATGACAAATATATATGTGTTATATCATGCAAATATATAGGCAATGTTATCTCGAAAGCATATATAAATAAATGAAAAGGGTTATATTAATTAAATGTGTGATTTTTGCTGCATAAAGAAAAGAAAAACAGAAAACAGAATTAAGTAAAAAGTATTGTTTTAGAATATTCTATCGGGTCAAACCCACTTGCATCGGGTAAAACCGCGTTAATACAAAGCATAGCTTAGAAAATTATGCAGTGGCATTGTTCTATAAATATTGTTGAAACAGAAGGGGGCCTGAAAAAAAGGCCTTCTGTTTTAATAGTATAGATGCCAAGTAAGTTTAAAATCCAAGTATATCATATGACCTTAATATTTTTATTTTCATATATTAATATTCTTATTTTACTTATAATTAATTATTTAAATATAATATTCAAAGTATTATTTAAACAATCTTATCTTGCATTTCCCGAAACAAATGATGAGAAACAGCAAGGGTATACATTTCTAGAATCAGTACTTTGAAAAAGAAGAACAGTCCCCAGTAGCAAAATGCTTCCCGGATTCATCAAACTCATTCGCTGAAATTATGACATTATGTCAACTGCATAGAAAACATCAGCTACAATTTTGAAGATTTACTTAGAGAAACATCCTAACATAATGTTATTAGAATGGAACTGCTTATGCAATCTGGAAATCAACAAAACAAAAACTCATGAATCTTTCAAATACATTATCCAGGTTCTCCACATCTTCTTTGCTTCCAGTGTAAAGTGTAACCTTATGTATCTGTAAAGCATCCAAATAAAATTTGTCTGATGACACCCAACCTTTGGATATAAGCTACTCTAATAAACTAAACATGTAATGTGTTTTGAGTTACCTTGGCCAGTTGAATATTAGTACTCTCTGATGACCATATGATTATTTTCCTCTAGCTTGGTAAAGTGTAAAACTCATCGGTGCATATTCATATAATAGTCTACGTTTTCTTGACGTCACCGTACACACGTAAATCCCACCGTACAACAAAGTCTATGAAAAGTCTCCAACTAAAGTTCTAAACCTTACCGAGTAAGGTTTCCCACTTGGACATGGGTCCTTGAGATCACCAATGCATTACTTCAAATTCTCAGCTTGAAAGAGTATATTTTCCTTGAAATACAGCTGGTAGTCTCCTTCTCTGAAAGAGTATTTTCCTGGCTTTGGAGATCTCAATATCTCTTGCGTGAGGATGTACTCGTTTTACATTAGGTCTAGGGTGAAGGCGAAGACACCTTCACCTAGCGTAAGAACGAAGATGACACACGTTAACTATACACCTTTGTTCTTCTGACCCAAGCTGCAAGCAACACATAGCCAAACATCAACAATATTATGTAAATTGTTTTTTTTTGAGAGTGGCCATGTGGAAGATAAAAGGGAGAGTAGTTAATTACAGCGGAGATTTCGTCAATGATACACTCGTTATTGGGGCTCTAGATACCGAAGATGGAACCAGTGGAACTGCAGCGTTAATGTTGGAGGAACCATCAGGAGAATCGAAGGCAACTGTGTATTTGTCGGAGCAATAGTTTAACATGAGCAATCATAAATAATAAGATCAAAAAATTAGCGAGCTCTACGATGGATTTCATCATCTCTACCCTATAAAAAAGCATTATATCAATTAGTCTAAGATGATTATGAGAAGCATCCAAATTAAATCGAAAGACATAGGAGATGGAATATGAGGAGGCGAACCTTATCCTCAACAGGAGCATACTCCCATAAATTTGTCGTGTTTGACGTTTCCGACTTTCCATAATCAAAACGATCTCACATCCACGGTAGAAGAACATCCTGACTTTAAATCAAATTCAAGTCAGAAAAAAGGAATGATGTTTAGAAACAAATTGCTTGAGATGATGAGGTTGAGGGAAATAAAGGCTTACCTTTTATAGGAATTAAGATGCCGCCTTGCAGAAAAATAAGGTGTATTCAATAACAGATTGGGTTCGAAGAGGAGTGATGGAGTTAAGGAGTGAAGGGGATGAATGAATTAGGCGTTTGTTGTTGATCTAAACTGAAAATCGAATGTTAGATCTAAGATTCATAAAAGGATTTTTTCACATGGATTGAAGACCTCGAAACTCCATAGCTGGTATCAAATATCAAAGAGAAGAAATTTTGATTCAGTGTGGAAGAAAAACACGAACCCTAAAAACTCAAAAATCCTTAGAAACTTGATTGCAGGTTGAAAGAGATGGTCGCTTACTGACTGGCTCTATTGCATAACATAAAGCCCAAATACTAAGGCTTCGAATGGTAAAAGCATATCAAGCGGTGCAGATCAAGCGTTTCATGCAGATCAAGCAGAACAAGTGCAGATCAAGTGGGACAAGTGAAAATCAAGCAGATCATGCAGGAGAGATGCAGATCAAACAGTTTATCATAAATTATGAATGACAAAATCAATTCAAAACTATATATCATATATTAAAAGAATAAAATTATACCAAATATCAAAATAAATATTTTAAATGTTGTAGGACCAGTCGAAATGTTTATTAAATTTTACATAAGATGCTTATACGTCTTCTATTTGCGTTTTATTTGATCAAAATTATTTTTGAAGAACAAACATCTTAATATTTAATTCTTTATTGATATTTATATATAGAAACGGAGATCAAACATATTAAATAATTTATTATAAATTATAAATGACAAAATATATTCAAAACTATATATCATATATTAAAATAATAAAAATTACATCAAATATCCAAACAAATATTTCAGATGTTGTAGGTTCAGTCGGAATATCTGTAAAAATTTTATTAGATGCTTGTACTTCTTCTATTTATTAATTATTTTAAAATATAAAAAAATATTAGTTATCTTTTTGCTGACATTTATGTAGAAAAAAAAATATATTTTTCGTGGAAAATATTGTGTTTTTGGGGTGATTATACATCATGCTTATAATTTTAAAATGACACAAATAATATTAATGTGAATTATATAGTTTGAGTTAATAATTGTACATTATTTATAATAAATATATTTTAAAGTTAAGTGTTTGTAATTTGTAATAAAACTATTTATTACTAAAAGGAGAAAAAAGTAGATCAACACCACCAAAAGACAAAAAAATTGAGTTGCATGCAGATCTCCCGCTTGAACTGTTTTTACAAACAGAAAATGGTGAATAGTAAATATACTGCAGGAGAACTGCATATTGCAGGAGAACTGCATGATCTGCCATTGTCATGCCCCTCCCATTCATAACCTAAACCAAACTCATGTCAATTGTAAATTCAAGTAACCAAAACTCAAAGTTTTGTTGAATTAGACACGTGTCAAAATTAAGGAAGCTGAATTTTTGACGTGACACTATAAAAAAAAAAAGGGAAAACCCTTCTTTATAATATTTAATTAAAAGTAGAATAGTTAATAATAAACCATGCATCAATTTTTGCTGTTTAGCTGTTAATTAAATATCATTTTGTTAACTGTTTTTAATTTGAAATTGATGTTGTAAACAATTTCTGAAACAACTTATATACTAAAATAAAGAAAATATACCAAACATAGAATATGAAAAAAATATTAAATAAAAATGAAACTGTTATGAATTTTGTCTTGTGACTTTTGATGCTCGAATATGCGATAGAATTATTATTTTAAACGTAAAAATAAGAGAAAAACGAGGCAATAAATAATAGACCATGAATATTTTCATTTATTTTTATTTTTATTTTTCCAGAAATAAATGAAAATTACATCGTGATCCTTAGAAAGAAAGACACGTGGCGCTCTAGATCGCCAGAAGCCACATCGTCTCCTTGGGTAGGAGAAAAAACACCGCGCCCAACAAACAATCCTTTTTCTCTCCCCCCACAGAGAAAAAAACTTGGATGGAACACAGAAGAAGAAGAAGAAGAAGCTTCAATCCAATCTCCATCTACGCTGCTTGAAGATGCGCAGCCTCACTCTAACTACTCTTCCGTTCACCTACGCCTCCTCCTATTCCTCTTTCAGACTCTACAAACGATTCCATTTCCTCAAGCCATGCTCTTCTTCCCTCAAACAAACCAATAAGAAGAAGAACCAACAACAACAATCTCTCCGCCGTTCTCCGCCTCCTTCCACCGCCCCTCCTCCCCGATGGTTCTTCAGCCCCAAATCCAGCGACGAAGACGACGACGATGCTAAATCCTCCTCCAAGGATGATAGTGGGGATGCTGCTATCAAGGGTACGATTTTGGCGGGAGTGTTGTTGATTGGCACTGTTGGTGGCTTCGCAGGGGTTGGGTACGTTTACAGAGACCAGATCAATACGTTTCTCACTCAATTCTCCACTTTCATCGAAGGTTCTGCTTCTCCACCCATTTGTCTGTCCACTACATTTAAATTCATTGACTGATTCTAACTGTATGTTGTGCGTTTAGGACAGGTTTTAGTCATTAATAACATGTTACGGTCCGGATGCACTGTAACATTTCGATGTATGCTGACCTGACTTGTCTTTGTCTTGTCGATTGTTTGATTCGAATTGTATGTTGTTGAGCTCTCAATGGACAATAGATGCATTTAGGACAAAAGTTTTGGGATCAGTTTCAGTAGCTGACAGCCTGACATGAGTTTTTGTCTTGTCGAATTTTGATAACAGGTTATGGTCCTGCTGGGTATGCACTGTTTATTGCCGTCTATGCTGGCCTTGAGGCAAGCTTCTTCATACTCAATTCATTTTCATGTCACTAAAGACTCTCTGTAGCCTAAAGTTTCAAGCTTTTTTTTTTTTTTTTTGCATTCCGGTTAGATACTAGCCATTCCTGCTCTCCCCTTGACCATGTCAGCTGGTCTTCTCTTTGGTTCCCTCGTTGGCACCATCATAGTTTCTATCAGTGGGACAGTAAGTTATTCTACCAAAACACACTCAAGATTAGTGTCATATCAACTATTTGTTTGGTTGTATGATTCTCTTTTGGCTTTGGTTTTTTTTTAGATGGCTGCTAGTGTTGCTTTTCTAATTGCTAGATATTTTGCTCGAGAGCGTATCCTTAAGTTAGTTGAAGGCAACAAGAAGTTCCTAGCCATTGATAAAGCCATTGGTGAGAATGGGTTTAGGGTTGTTACTCTCCTTCGTCTAAGCCCTCTGCTTCCTTTCTCTCTTGGCAATTACTTGTACGGCTTGACCTCTGTCAAGTTTGTGCCTTATGTACTTGGAAGGTTTGTGTTAAAATAAATTTAAATTTATCTCTTCCCCTATGATCAAGATTTCATTTAGTTAGCATTTGAGAACAAGATCTCAACTGGATAATGTACTTTTTAAGTACACACACTTATTTGTGGAGGATCATACTGTTTTGTGCAGCTGGTTAGGTATGCTTCCAGGATCTTGGGCTTATGTCAGCGCTGGAGCCTTTGGACGAGCAATCATTGTAAGTATTGTTGTCTATTAATCTAACTTATCTACCCCTCATATGGCGTACTCATGTCAAGCGTAAGGTTACAATAGGATCCACCGAGCTTTTACCTTGATGAGTGTACAATAGTTTCACGTTGGTCAGTTCTAGTCTATGGTGGAATTGAATCGAAAGCTAGCGTAGAAAGGGAGTTCGGTAAAAGAACCTTTTTTTTGTTTTAATACCAAGGGGTAAGGGTTATAGAAACATCAAGCTGTAGGATCACAGCAAAAAAGTTTTGTTTTTACGTAATGAAAAAGGAGATATCGAATGTCAGACAAATAGTCTCAACTCTGGGAAGACTAGTCGTTTTACTTATGGATGTTAACTTGAGTTGAAGAAATTGTATCTCCGATTGATCAGTGGGGACTTGTGTTTTATGAATGTGTTAAAACGTTGTGATTCTAGCAAAAGCAATGTAACCATCAAATGACAATGTGTTTTCTATCTGTGGTTGTTTTAGCAAGAAGAATCTGCTGCTGGGTTGCCTGGAGGAAACGGCCAGCTTCTAACGCTCGGGTTGGGTCTGTTGGTAACTGCATTGGCTGCAACATATGTAACTGGCCTTGCAAAGGTAACTCTCATACTTTAATAACTGTTTTGATCTTTCTCTGGTCTAGTCTCTCATCTTTGTCTCCTACTTTACCGTTAAGCATAGTGCAAACTCTTCTGATGGCATACCAATTGGTTCGAACCTTTTAGACCTCATAAGCACACAAATTGCATTTCCATGTAATCTCCCATGTTTTGTTGAACAAGTTTAACACACTTGGATCTCTAATTCACTCGTCGGGTGTTGCAGGATGCTATAAAGGATATTGATGATGAGTAGAGAGAGATGCAAACTATAAGACAAGGGAACAGAACTGAACAGTGAAGGATTTGGATAAGCAGCTCTAGGAATTGTAAAACCTTAGCTGAGAACCATATATCAAAAGCTGAATGTATTATCTAGGATGACATTTAACATTGCTCCATCATTGTTCATAGTTTATATAATTCGATTTTTTGTTCTCTACTCTGCATTTTGTTGACAGGAACAAAAAAAAATATGCTTCTAGATAGATGCATTTATGAGTGAGAGCCTCAGAAAATGAAAAGACTCACGAGTACATTAGGAACTCAAAACAGAGAGAGGTTCCAACCAAAACGTATTTGAAGATGAAAGCATTTCCGAAAACGAAAAACAAATGTTTGGAGATTTTATTTGTCAAAAGAATATTGGGACGCAAAGTCATAGATTGCAGCACTAAGCAGTAGCTTCCTTCAAGTAGGCAATGAGATCAGCACGCTCTTGTGGCTTCTTGAGCCCAGGGAAGACCATCTTCGTTCCAGGAATGTACTGCAGCATCACAAGAACAAATCAGAACAATCAATCCCAATGTTGTTAATTCACAACCGAATCATAAATGTAAAAAAAAAAACAGAGGATAATATACTATAAATAATAAAAAAAGGAGGTTACCTTCTTGGGGTTGAGCAAGTAATCGTACAAGGTCTTCTCTTCCCATTCAACAGCTTTGTTCTTGTTAGCAGCAGAGTAAGAGTAACCAGCTGTTGTACCAGACTGTCTTCCAAACAGACCGTTTAGGTTCGGTCCTATTAAAACCATTTACCCCAAAAAAAATATAAGATTATTATTATTCACAAAAAAACAATAACGTTTAACGAATTTTTCAATGAAACACCACAAGGACCTGACCAAACGTGATGCAACTAGCAAACACAAATTCTCGCAGCATCACATATTCGCAATACACAAGGAAATCAAGACGATATCGAGCTTCTTAGATCGGATCTAATGATTAACTTGAAATCAAGCGTACGAATCGACGAATTCTCGAAAAGGATCAACATCAGGAACAAAAAGAACAGATCGGTTCTAAATCAAAAGCCAGGTTAAATCGGAACACCAAGACATAGAATAAAAAGTCAAAGGGATTAGAGACGGATCGGATCTAACCTTGTTTGTGACCGGCGCCTTTGTCGACGGTGTGACATTGAGCACACTTGGTCCTGAAGATCTTCTCACCGGCCTTGGAGTTTCCTGGTGGTGCTTCATCAAACGACGCCATTTTCGCCTGAGGAGAAGGACTAGAGAAAACAAACACGGAACTCGCTTCGCTGGAGGAGCTTCTAAGGGTTTCTGTGGGGAGGGGCATCAACAACATGGGAGAAGACTTCTCTAAATAATCATGATAACGGGCCAATCGTATTATGGGCTCTTGGTGGGCTCCAGTTTATCATCCATATAACTGTGGTTTTACCTTCAGAAAGTAATATGAAACTGCTGTTTAATTTTTGGGTCATTTTGCTGAATATTCATAAGAGAAGCAACAATTAAGAATATAGCCTTAGCAAAAGTGATGGGAAAATTAACGTTATTTCTGGACGGTTTTCTCCTTTCACTCGCGTGCGCGTCACTAAGAGGCGAGTCGACCATTTTTCATAACACTTATATTACAACAAGCATGTGTATGGAAACGCTATGTGTCCTATCGTGTTATGAACAATTAGGAAAATAATACTACAATACATTTCATGTAGTATAGGAAGATAAAACTCGTGACAACAGACGTCTATGTATATTGTGGGCTACAACAGGGATTCCTCAATGGAAAATGGGGGGAGGGGAGGGAGGAAGTACTTTCCTATTAGGTATATAGTATAGGAAACAAGGCCAAGTTGGAACAGGTGCGTGAGGAAGGATATACCATGAGAGTAAATCGCCGGCGTACATATGCAAGGTCAAATAAGACTATTATATAGATGAGAAAGTATAGTAAAACTATAACACAACATTGCACACGTCTACTACATTTCCTTTATGGAGAATCAACAGAGGCATGTACGGATATGACCCATAAGAAACACTATATTATAATATATGTATGATATAGTATAGGCACCGAAAAAAGCGAGAAAAACAAGAAGCTTAGGTGTATTGGAGGCTCTAAAGTGTACTCCAATACAATATGATAAACATTATAAAAGGTGAGAACATAAAAAGCTTAAAAATGTTAGACTATACTATATAAGGTATATAAGGTAACATATATAAAGTAAACAAGCATATATGGGAACTGCGGGTGCAAAAACAAAAGTGTATACTATTGGTGATATAGTATAGAATGCAGAGGGTTATCGCAATTTTCTGGTTGAAGAAAAAAACACTTCATTGCTTATGATGGCATGTTTAAAAGGAGACAAATTATGGGCTACCAAAGTAAAACGCTATATAGTTAAGATGTAATATGTCACCCTATGAAAAAAACAATCTCATTGAAGGTCAATATAAAAGACATCATCAAAAAAAAGGTCTTTGTCTTTGCCAAATTGGATGATCCAGATACTATAGAATGTACTATTGAGTCGTTAGTATAGTACGGATTCATAAGGGAGGAAACTGGAATCCATGTTAACCGTTACTCGAAAATGTATAAAGAGCCGCTGAAGAATATCCACATTACGGACTATATTATCTTGCTCTCGTATAGAAAGAATTATGTATAGTACAGAACAAAGGATCCAAGTGTATGGTACTTTTTCGTTTTGGTGACAAAAAAAATAAGGAAACACACAGTATATACTACTAGAAATATAGAATAGTTTGTTAAGACAACAATTCACAACTACTGCATTAGAGAAGCTGTTATGATAGAGAGAGAGTTAAGGTTTTAAAAACAAGAGTACATGAAGGGACATAGAACACTAATAAAAAGAACTGCAAGAAAGGATATTCATTATTTTAAAGCATAACTTAGTACATAACGTTCTGACATAGTGAAAACAAGGATAAGAGGAGGTCTGATGAAGCACATGCTTCGATTTCTTAGTTGAAAAGAAGCGAGAGAATGATACCAGCGCAAACGAAAAACCCAACCCAAGAAAAGGCAATACACTGCCAGTACAATCTCTCTCTCTCTTTGCAAACTTAAGAACTTCAATTTTGAGCTTCTCATTCTGTTCCACAATACTGTTGCAGACATCGACTGAGGCTTGATCAGAGAACATAGTGTTGTTTTGCTGAAGTAGCATCAGAAAGCACGTTTTTTATCAGCTCTATCCATCTCAATTTGAAGTAGTTGTTTATTCTCTTTCGGCTGGTAGGTTCGAACCCAGTCTCAAACAAGCACTCTAGCAAGCCGAACTCTTCCATACTATACATGTAAAGGCTAGATGTTAACAACATCAGTGTAATGAAACCAATATATAAACAAGTTTGAGCACAAACAACTGGTGAAAATGGTACAAAAGAAACATAACTGTAACTATTCAGGTTACCTAACCTACTTCGGTGGACACTATAGTAGCGGAAGAGCGGATAAGAAATATGTTTATTTTATATGATGGCAGTAAACATGCATGACTACACTATAAATATTCAGCGCTAGTATTTTTCCTCTTACACCGCTGGTGTAGAACAACATCAGTCTATAATATATATGTTCACCAATAGTATAGTCATGATTCGATCAACATTAATTCAGACATCCACTATATAATAAAAAAAAAATGTATTCAAGTTAACAACCTACTTCACTTGTCAGTTTAGAAGACGAAACAATAAAAGTAAATATTTGACATTTACATGTGGTTACCACCCATGAATTTCTATACTATAAGCATGTTAGTAATAATAAATATCCTTGTAGAAGGTTTTATACTATAAACACAGATCTATAGTCTACTGAATTTCCTCATCACATCTATTAATCACAGACACGAATCACCAAACTGGGTTCTTTAAATCGATGCCTACAACAGCGAACCGACATACATCTACTATCTGACTTTATCAGAAAAAGATTCAAACCTTTTTTTCCCATACCTTCTCTCTGCAGCCTTGCTACCCGTTTTCCTAGATCTGCACACAAACTACAATACATACCTTGTCGACATCTTAATGAAGCTATACTATAAACATTTTCATATAGTATAGTCCATATTTTTTCCACATAGTACCGCTACAAAACATGATTTCATATAGTATACATACTATATACGTAGTCCAATAGTATAGGCCACCTACTCTATACACAGATATACATGTTAGCAAACATATTAAGATCTATAAACAAATATATAGGCGACACATATATACTATACTACAGTTACAATAGTTTAGATTTGTGAGGTTAGAAATCTATGCACATATGTAGATGTTTACACAAGAAATGAAGAGTAAGCTACTACGACAATGGTCAAACAGTTTAAACTGTTAACACATAGTCTAGTCCTATACTTGTATCATGATTCTCGAGAAACTGTAATAACCAAAGTCTCCTCCTATATTAATCCAAAACTCAAACAACAATACTTACCTTTTTTGCATCTTAATGTAGCTATACTATAAACATTTTCATATAGTGTAGTCCACATTTGGTGAACATAGTACCGCTACTATACATGTTTTCAAATTGTTCCCATACTATATACGTAGTCCAATAGTATAGGCCACCTACTCTATACACAGATATACATGTTAGCAAACATATTACGATCTATACACAAATATACAGGCGACACATATATACTATACTACGGTTACAATAGTTTAGATTCTTGAGGTTAGTAATCTATGCACATATGTACATGTTAACGCAAGAAAGCAA